TTAGTCCAAACACATTTGTAACCATANATTTTTCTTCTTGGAAATCTATTGAATATTGATACTGTCCAGTTGTATTAGCAATTAGCGTTCTTCATTCCTTGATATAATTTAACAGTACTTAGTCCAAACACATTTGYAACCATAGAGAATTGAGAATTCTATGTGATAAATGCCATTCGCCGGGTTTATAAMGGTATGGGCTTTGGGCTTAAATTAAAATGTTGTTTGTTTTAAGAAAAATAAAGTTTATCTGCTGAGAAATCAAATTAATTTTTCATGAGCACTTTATTCACCACTTTAATCACTTTCATAATATTTCATAGTATTTGTTGTAATTCGAAAACGAACAATRTAGTATTGGTATATTATAAATAATATACAAAATGCAATTAAAAAGATCAGCATATGCCGCGAATTTGATGAGGAACTTTTCTGTTTTACGAGACATCGTTTTTTTTTTTTATTTGAAAACGATGGTGTAGTCAGAATTCGGTGAAGGTCAAATTTAATTTTAATGTTATGATTAGTCGACATTTATAGAATTTTCATATTCAACTGGCCTGATCACTCGCTCGGGTACTTAAAATCAAATTCATCCATCGACTTGGTTTTCAAAATAAAATTTGTGYCCGGTAAACCAAAAATATGCATTTGGTGGGTCMGAGGATAGATTTAATTTTACTATTACAAATTTAGATCAATATTTAAATTAACTCGGTGTTTTGATTAAGTATACTCATACACTTATATCATGAAATTAATAAACAATTGGACAATCCATACATTTAATTTTTGATAGATACTTTTTCTTTGAATTACAAATGGCTTATTAAAATGTTGGTTAAATAAAAATTCAATAAAGTAAAAAAAAAAATGAAAATTTAACCAGTCAAATAAAGTAAAACTAATTGATATTTTGCTTAGTCCAATAATGCTGTTGAAAAAAAATCTATTATAAAATTGAATTTAATAGAATAATATATATATTATTAATTTAAGTCTA